AGTGGAGTGATTTGTCTTCAAAAAAATCAGAAGCCACCCCGATTGTGGGCCGAATGCAATCAATCACCTGGCGTTCCGCTGTGAAAAGATTGATCCAATCGCACGTTATGCAGTATCCCTAATGAAATCGAAGAACAGATGAGAACCTGGAAAATAGAAACCTTTGAAATCCATAGGAACATTTTTTAAGAATGCTGGACAGAACACTAAGTCAGCAGTAGACTAGCCCGCTTCCAGGTTCGAGTCCTGAGACAAAATTTGGCCCATGCCTCAACATTTCTGCTATGAATTTCCCATTCAGTACTGCGGTTGAAAACGGTTAACTGGATAAAACAGAACGAGACAAAAACAGGAAAGGGTGGATTTACTTGGATTGATAGTTTTAAACCAGATGACCCGAGATAGAATTAACAAAGCAGAAGGGAACAGAAAAAAGAGTCCAATTAAAAGAAAGGGTAGCTGGAGGGGACGAAGGCACTACCAGCAGACAGTTGAACAGTTCCGCGCTCCAGTATAGCGGCGCTACCCCCGGTTGCGTCGTACACCACGGTCAGGTGGAGTGCGCTAATTGGAGCAATCGTCAAGTGTACCTCCTATTGGATGGAGTGCGACTTTCCTGAGCGGCAACCATTTATAAAAAGGAAAATAGTTACTAAAAGGACCCTCAGTATCTAAACAGGTTCTACTCAGCTTCCGTCTCAAGAGCTGAAAACGTCGAAGTTCCGACTAGGAAGCTGAAATTATATCACACGCGAGTATTCACTCGTAAGAAGGCTGTAGCTTTTTTCAGTTGTAATCTTTAGAAAGATGTGAGAAGCGTTGTGAAGAAAAGATTCAAACTCTCCAAAAGATGTTTCTGCATTCTGGAAATCTGCATCGAGGAAACTTCTGAGCCACTCCGGAACTCTATTCTCCTTCGCTTGCAAGGAACTTCTTTCGAAATGCTTTTAAGATGAACCACCTCGATGGAGTGAATAGAAAATGATGCACTCGGCGGAGACTACCACTTCGCTCTGATGTGCACCATGTAGTGACCCACTCGAAGTCATCAGAAAGGTACTACATCTACACGAAAACTTGCTCGTGCAACCAAAAAGATTTCTTATCCTTTACCACGAAGAAAAACTCCTATGGCCATGTATAGTCTAGTCTCATTATTCCCCATTAACGTTGCTTCATTTCCGGCCCTGCTCCAATAAATTACAATTTCCGGCTGCAGTACATGATGGTATCAAAGGGTTCTCCGCGTTCTGAACCCCAAAACTAACATACTGGTCCCTGGTTCCTCTCAAGCGGTGTTAGTTCTGAGTTGCACACAACTAGGCTGGGAACTTGGCCCGACTTATTAAAAACAGTTACTGTAAATTTTCAGAATTCTTGTTCATACAAAAAACTGGAGTACCACAAGGAAGTAATGTTAGCCCTTTGTTAGCTGATCTTACATTATCATATTTCGAATACATCTACTCACTTAATCATAACAACACACGATACCTACAACTAAAACCATTCAGATATATGGACGATATTCTAATTATACACAATACAGATACACAGACTATTCTAAATAAACTTAACGCATTATATGAGAATATTTTAAAATTGGAGGTTACACATAACAACGAATATAAGTGTAATTATTTGGATTTAGAAATTAATATTGAAATTAATAAAATATATACAAAGATGTATAACAAAACAGATCATTTTAATTTCTCCATTAAACGGTTTCCCAACTCAACTACAAATATTTCGTGTAATATTAAGCATAATACAGTATATTCCGAAATCCTCAGAATAGCACGAACGTGCACTAACAAAAAAGATTTCATAAATAGATTAGAACACACCAAAGGACAGTTAGGTGAATCAGGGTATAGCACAGATGTATTTATTATCAGCCTTGTGAGATGCATAATGAAAAATACTTTTATAAAACACAAATATGAGATAAAATTAAACAAATTAGTCGAGTTCTTCCAAAAACTCGATGATCCTTGAGAAGAAAATGAATCCCCAACAATGAAAGGATGATAAAGCATGATAAAATTTAAACACGTTATATCATGAAAACACTTTCATTTATTTATATCGAACGATGCTGGGAGGCAGCTGCAACATTTCAAGGAAAGGATTATATATTTTATTATGTTCATACCATATTTCAGTAATTTCAGTAAAAAATTGGTAAGTAAACAATTTTATAAAAAAAACATGGGTAAGTAATCATTTCTTATATTATAATTGAGTTAAAATTATGAATAACTATGCGTTAATTCTTCTATTACTTCTATAATACAAGTATTATTTTCAAAATCTATTTGATCACTTACAAAAAACATATTTATTGGAGAAATTAATTTAAACTGAACTCTATGTCCTCCCTTCCCTTACTGATGAGCACAGAGGGAGGAGACTTCACTTGTTTGGTCTCCGTCTAAGGGTCACGTGCGAAACGGAGACTAAACGACTTCTTTGCTCACCACCCCTTCAAATATATGTGAAAATTGAAGAATATCGTTAAAATTTCGGTTTAAACATCATAAGCAAGATAATAATAAATAGATTAGTTTGATTCAACTTGTTTCTATTATAAACATAATAACTTCATTGTCATATAAGATAAAAGGCATCCCGTCGAGGCGTACAACAAGGGTTCTAAATTGTGACATATCAAAGTTTATTTAGAGTTGACACTTTTCAACATATCCTGCTGCTTCTTTCTGCTGAACACACTGCTCCCCCTCCCCAACACGTAAGTGATTTATCTGATCAACACTGGTCAAACCTACGAGGGGGGGGGAGGGCAAAAAAGAGTTATTTCGCCCATAGGGCACATCATCATATCATTTCGGGAAGCCCAGTTGTTAATGAATGTTTCACGGCAGAATATTCCTTAGGTGTCCCCCGTAAGCAGAAGCAGGCCCTCCTTCACTGCCCCACCGTCTTCAGAATATGACGTCATCTGCCGTCACCGTCGAGCTCAACGAGGCTTACCGTAATCGCTCCGGCCTGAAGCTGCTACACAATTTCTTCAATGGATTAATGTGAATAGCTTCTTAGAGACATTAGCTGTGAATATGCAAGACCGCTTTTGAATTAGCTCTTATGTTTGCACTGGTCCATAATCCTTCGACGACCTCGTTGAGCTCATACCGTGAGCCATGTTTCCGCGAGAAAATCTTCTGATATTGTTCGTTCTAGAAGGCTATTACTGTACATATTTTGATTAGACTTGATGTATGGGAATGTCGCTCATTAATATCCAGTGAGGTCACTTGATTTGGTTTCGAACGCGTAGCAGATTTGCTCGACCATCGTTCAACTTGTTAGCTCCAACTGTGTCTGACAAAACTCATTAGATCCAATCAATAGTTTCTTCTCTTGAAATTACAGCGAAGCGACCACTACTCATTTGAACAGTTTAACAACGCTGCGGTCGTGGAAAACACTCTAGCAATTGCTACCGTTTGTGTTGGCAACGGACTTCTTCAGTTTATTTTAGGCCAAAATATTTGCGCTGATTCAACGTTTATGTTTGCATCACTATGCTTAGAGGGCGGGAAGTGGTGTAGTGACAAGTGGCGCGCTCACCACGCGAGCGGTCCGGGGATCAAATCCTGGGTCGTGAGTCGCCCGGGCCAACCAAGCCTTCCATCCCTCCGGGGTCGGTTAATTGGTACCAGACTTGTCTGGGAGGATAAAAACACTGACTTGTACATCGGCTGGCCCCCGCAAGTCATTGTATAGGCCACATCGCATTCAAACGCCACTACGAATGTACAAATGGAAGTAGAATGCGTGCCGCATCCCAAAAAGGGATTGATCAACGGCAAATGCTTTATCCTTTATCCTTTATTTACTGCACTCATGCAAAAATGCGAAACACACTTGGTGAAAGCAAAGGTGTACCTGTCCCAAGGAAAATCGCGTCCAGGTAATCCGCTGCAGTACGTCCGCCCCACCCCTTCTTCAAATGGAGGTCCCGATCAGGGTCAACCGTCCCGTTCGCATTATGCATTTGCGATTCTGGGAAGAGGTGCTTTTTCAAGTTGAGCAAGGTTAACTTCCTCTAGGAAAAGAGTGAACAGATACTATATTCAACGGGTTTTCGCGACAAGTTTGGCGAAAGCTTTATGGAATCAGGGTAAAGTTAACAAAATCGCTGAATTTGCTGCTGTTTGAGATACCAGTTTTACACTCCCCACCCCGCCCAACTTCCCATTCCTCACTTGAGGAAACAGTGGAGGGAATTGGGCATGTTGCCAACCTGGTCTCCACAACGGGAAGGATATCGCAGTCGAAGAGTGGCTATTGCAATGAAACCTATACTCACAGGCGTGGTTCTTTGGGAAGCTGATCTAACCAGGAAGGTCTTTCAGGGCGTGACAAGCTTTTTGAAAACGGTCTTTTGCATGATATAGGGGCAGATGCGGGAACCACAGAACCATGTTTAATTTTTCCTGAACGGCCCTCTGAATACCAGAAAAGGGGGTCCCTAGTTCGATTCCTCGTGGTGACAAATTTTTGCATTTCGAGTTGACGTTCCAAAATTCGCGCAAAATGGAGTTAGCATGAATAATTAGTACCATATTCATGATTAGGACCGTCAGTAACCCTTACAAATAGACTTTGATTAAAAAACTGGTGAAAAAGGTGTGACACCACAGTGGGGCTGCTTGATGTCACACCTCTCACACCAATTTTTAAGTCAAAGTCTTTTTGTAAGGGTTACTGACGGTCCTAATCATGAATATGGTACTAATTATTCATGCTAACTCCATTTTGCGCGAATTTTGGAACGTCAACTCGAAATGCAAAAATTTGTCACCACGAGGAATCGAACTAGGGACCCCTTTTCTGGTATTCAGAGGGCCGTTCAGGAAAAAACCCATTGTTCTGTGGTCCCGCATGTCCATTATGCAAAAGACCGTTTTCAGAAAAGCTTGGCACGCCCTGAAAGACCTTCCTGGTAAAATTCGTCTTCCAAATTTGCAACTACGATTCTCTGACCAGAGTTGCAAAGGCTGTTCTAAATGAAAGTCCAGTCTAAGAGGGACCAGTGCGCAGATACTGCCACTCTCCGGCCTGGTCTAGTGGTACTGCTCGCGATTGCGTTGGTGAGGCTATGAATCGCGTGCTTGCTAAGCATGAGGTTTTTGCACTTTTTAAAACAATGTTTTGCTCTTCAGCTACAGAAACCTATCATTGTTGAAAACTTGCCACTTGTGCACGCTTCTTACTTGTTCATAAGAGTACCTTGAAGGAATCAACTATTTTTCATTATGGGATGTTTTTTGTGGACCAGTTATTTTTCACAAGGTGTAGGATGTTTCTACGTCACGGAAGGGACTTATGAATAATGGAGTTGTGATGTATTTGCTCAGCGGATCCAACTATCCCTGAAGGCTGACTTCTAGGAAATTGACATTCTAAACCAGTTTCGAAAAGTTGCCTGACAACCAGTCGTCAGTTTTACCCGTACCCAGTAACCCTACCATAGCCTTACCATAGACGGCACCGAGTGCGAACTTGAAAAAATTCCATCTAGTTTTTCAGATAACGCAAGGAAGCAAGACAGACATAAATATTTGTGTTGGCAAGTATAACTGAAAGTGTAGTTCCATCTCATGACCACACATTGACAATGGGTTAACGGACAGATAGGACTGCCCACACTTTCGACGTTAGGTCAAAATTTTAGATTCTGAGCAAACGTTGTCCAAAGGAGTAGTTTAACACGCTGAACACGAATATCATCTCTGTTTTATTCCTTCTCGGAGTTCCTAGGGCAGCGCCTATGGGTTACCAGGGTGGTCATGCGAACTGGCGCGCCACACTTGATCGAAGCTCTCGCTTAGGCTCCTCACACTTGTAGATTAGGAGTGCTGATGACTTGGCATTGATGGATGTCTCCTTACCAATGCCTTTAGGAAGAGCAAAACATCTAGTATAAATCTCGTTACAAATGGCCACTTGACCTGGTGTCATTCTCGTCAGAGTCAAATATTCTAGAAACAACCATGATTGTGAGGGTAACGATCGGTGTAGAGAAGAGGAGTGTTGTTTCGAGTTTCTTAGGCTGATGATGAGTGACGGGGGAGGGGAGGGGTTCGTATCGGGACCCCTTAAGTGGAGGTTGAAAAATTTTTTAGTGCGAACGTGACGATTGACCCTGGTCTCGATACAGCCTCTCTCGTCGATGGTTTGGAGTCGTTGAACTTTGTCCAACATCACACACCTGTTCGGCCCTACAATTTATCCCGGTCAGGGTGAAGGGATCTGCGATTGTTGAAGCAGTGAACGTAATATTTGAAAGTTATTCGTTCATTTCTACCTTCTCTCACCTCTCCCAATAGCCTAGCTATTATGGCCAGTTCAAAAATACATAGTACGGACTTCCATAAAATCAGTTTATGAGTCCCTTTCGGTCCAGATCGTGCATTCATTTGGTTCAAGCATGAAAGCGTCAGGAATGTTCTATTGTGTGCTCTGTCGAAGTACTTTGTCTCGCGATCCAACAGTTTCGGTAAAGGTCTTATGAAGTTTTAATTTTTATATTGCTTATGGTGTGAGTATCTACCCTTTTCAGCATTTGTTTGGCTCTTTGCTTACGTCGTAGATACATGTGAGAATTATCCATCATGCGGTCTTGTAATATCATAGAAAAAATTTCGCCAAAAATAGAAGAACCCATGAAACATGCACTCAAAATGGAAATTCTTATTCCGCTATGGAACGTCCAATTATCTGGTATTTCTCGAATTGTTTTGTACAGCACCAAATTCGCAGAGTGGCCGATTTGTTGTCAACAGAAGTTATCAATGAACTGGTCCAGTCTGAACTTCTATCGGACTGATAAAGACATACAATTCGTACAAAGCACCGGCTACCTTGGCGATAACGCAGTCCAGGCATCTGCTCAGTTGGCCCATCGCTATTTATAACCTCTAATTCTCAATAAAATACGACCATTCGATAATTTCATCATTAATTTCAGATGAAGTCGATAATCCTTCTTTCCTTGTTTGGCGTCATTGTCGCCATGAGAGATCAATCCATAGCAGTAAAGGGAAAACTTCTCTGCGGAACCAAACCAGCCAGCAATGTCCGCGTGAAGCTCTGGGAAGAAGATGGAGGTTGGTAGAATCGTTGCATCAAACGTGTTGTGTTTTGACTTGAATGCCCCTCATAGTAAATGCCTCACTCGGCTGCAGGACCTGACCCGGATGATGAATTGGATGCTGGCTACACGGACGGGAGCGGCATGTTCCAGTTGTCCGGAGGAACAGCTGAGCTGACACCAATTGACCCCGTGTTCAAGGTCTACCATGACTGTGACGATGGCATTAAGGTCAGTTATAAATTATCATGGCACTTGTTTCGTTATTATTACGCCTGACAATTGCAGCCTGGATCTCGCAAAGTGAAATTCTACCTCCCAAAATCGTACATCACTGAAGGAAGGACTCCCAAGAAAACATTCGATATTGGTGAGTGCGAGTTCACTAAAAAATTCATCACTCGGAATCAAGGAAAGGAATGAGGGCACAATTAACGTTTCACGTATACCCAGAATAGTTTTGGGTATCTACATAACCACGTCCACTTATCGATATCAGTTCAACTACTTTTGTGAAAGGATTGTCTGATTAGCAAAAAGATTGAATTCCCGTTGGTGTTACCGTTCTAACTGAATTCCTTGGTTCAGGTGTTCTCAATTTGGAGACGATTTTCCCTGGAGAGGAACGCGAAATGATCGTTTCTCGTATGCGACGTGATTTCCTCTTCGACGACGAGTATGACGACTGAATCCCCTTCCCGTAACGATTTCTCCGAATCGTTTGGTTGTTGTAAATTTGATTTTCTTATGTCTGAATAAAATTGTTTTTAAATATTGAATTTATTTTCAAAATCCTCTCTACTGCGAACTGCTACACGTCAGAGGATTTATCTCGGGAAAACTGGAAAGGTTTCAGAATCAAGTATTAGAAAACTTTGCAGGTACCTTTGACATGCCAACACACAATCTTCTACTCAAACGAAAAGAATGCATTTGTATTGTACCTTCCAAAGTTGTTGAAATTACAGTGTTTCTGCTGTATGTCCCTTGAAGATCGAGGTATTAACCTAACGTTATACTTAGCTCAATCACCAACAGAAGCAAACGTTCGAAGGGAAGCAACGGGATTGGGCTCGGTAGTAGGGACCAGGTTAACAGTGATCTTGTTAGGCTCACTCCTGAAAAGGTTATGCCCCCCTCGCCGCACAAAATGTGCGCTTAAAGCGCTAACCTTTGACGTACCACTACTTGATGGGACCTAGCGAGCTAGAAGACGTGCGTGGTCCCTCGGCCTCACCAGCTTGGGTGTCTGCCATTGTTCATTGTAGGTTGGGATTTCTCATTTCTAGGACAGATTTCTAGGACATCCTTTCATTTCTAGGACAGATTTCAGGGAATGACAATGGAGACCGCCTTCAAATCATCCACCGCCAGGCCTAAAGATTGTTGGCTTACTCATGGTCCACCTAAATTGGTCAAAATCTTATTTTCTCTCAAACTTCGGTATCAAGGGTTATACAGCGCCTTGATTGCGATTACGACACTCGTTTTTGGCGCTGACGCCATTTGGTACCGCTATGACGTCTCTTGGTGTCAAAGTGGTGCTGTTTCGGTATC